CATGTAGTATTTACCAACTGATTTGAACAGACCTTCATGTATATACTCGTTAAAATATTTCAATGAAGCTTTCTTTGCATTTTGAATTTAGGAATAAGAATTTGTATCAACCTCACTGTCATGGCCACGAAATTTGCGAATGACATGACCTGTTGAGACATCCCAATAAAATACTTGTCGATCGCCACCACATGAACAAAGTTTTGAATTGTCCCTAAAATATTAACAGTATAAGCATGCAAGCCATCAAAATTTTTGCATCATTAAAAAGACTTTGGAATTAGGCCAAAAGCATATCAAACCACATAATCTAAATTGTAGAGACTTGAACACTTGATTCTAAAGAAAGATATAATATCCAACATAAACATATAAATGCAGAAAGATATAATATCCAACATAAACATATAAATGCACACAAAGTTTAGTTCTTTGCATTAACTTTTGCCTTTTTTAATCTGTATATTGACTTTAGACAGGAAGCAGGAAGCACATGTATTCATTTCGTAGAAAGTTTAATGATATTGTGGTTTCTCACTTGGAAACGGAAGGGCAATTAGCTTTTGTGAAGGGGCTTGGTTGGGGCACTCTCCTTTAAAAGACTTGTTTCGAGCCTTACAACATATCTTCTCAATATAATGCTTAGAGAGTTGAGTACTGCTCAAGGAAGGGATCTCTTTCTAAGAAGAAACTTGATGATTAATAAAACTACTCCGAACCAATCAACGATTGATTCCGTTACCTGTGGGGTCAAGCAAATGGTAAATTTTCAGACAAATCATGCTACAAGTTGCTATCTGCTTTTGACATGAGATATTTTGGCCTTGGAAGAAGATTTGGCACATAAGTGCCCCTGAAAGTATCTTGTTTCACTTGGTTAGTGGTTGGAGAAGTCTAAACCACTCAAACAAACCTTCAAAGATGTGATTTCCAACTTTGTAGCAGATGCTCCTTTGCGAAGATCATCCTGAAGATTTCAGTCATTTGTAAAAGCTCTATGGAATTCTGAAGAGCTGGATCAGAGAGATTCTATGCATTCACACAAAAAGAATATAGAACACGATTCCTATTGCTATTTGATGGACAATATGGACAGAAAGAAACTACAAAGGTTAAAACTCTTTCTTTGCTAGCTTTTGGTACTACCTGGTCTTTATAAAAGATATGGATGCCATGTTAGATATGATAGGGAATTTGCACAGTTTGTAACTACGTTTTGACGTACTAGCTTACTATTCTTCTTTTTAATAATATCTTTTACTACTGATAAACAAAAAATAAGCTTTTTACCAAGTTTGGCAGCAATATGAAACAGTAACTCATACTATATCTTCAGGTGCTGAACCTGGCGACACTCTGCCTAAGAAAATTTAGTTTAAATAGGAATAGAACTCAGGCTCAGGTTCTCCTCACCAGCTTTTGTAAAAAAGCCATGGATCTTCTTATGCATTAACACCATGCTTGATTGGAATAAATGAGGAAGGGTGGATGGAGAATGTACCTTTAGTTTCTTTCTGGAGCACCCATGAGGTCTAATTGTAAATAAGAATGTGTGGCTTTTGTATAGAATCATATAATGGTGTAGGTTCTCTTCTTTTTCTTATATTTCTAGTGTAGGTAAAACAGGAGGATAAGTGAAAATGTTGATGGATTAGATACCTATCAATATCAAGCCTTTTTCAATCCCTCCAAAGGTGGATACAGAGGAAGAAATATATAAACTCCCTCCTCGTTTCAAATTGAATGACCATACATATATATATATGGTTCTACAAGGGAACCCCTTTAACAATTGTCCAAGCAATTTTCTCTAGTTTATTCTAGAAAACCAAAAAGCTTACACGTGACCATACATTCTTTTTGAAACTGTACGACTAAACATTCTCTCAACAAATACTGCGCAATGCAGGATTTAACCTTTCTTCACCTACCTGAGAAATCAACATTAGACATTCCATTTAAAACAAAGGGAGGGATCTTTTACTCTCCTTCCAACCATCCCAAATAGCTAAGGCTAAGCTAGCGTTTGGTCATAAATTTTGAAAAATTATCTTCAATTATCTGTTTGGTCATGAAATTTAAAAATTTGATCTTCAAATATTTGGGACCTCCGCTAACAAAACTTCAAACTTTTCCCCCACTAAAATGCATGTCCAAATACAACTTCCAATTCCAAAAATCACAACTTCAAAAACTCAACTTTTCAAGTTTCAACATCAAAATGTATGACGAAACGGAGAATTCTAAAACATCACCCCCCAAGAAGTAAACAAATAGCTCCCCCAACCTATCTTTTCCATCCCCTCACCTTTCCTCAAGGCTCAAACCAAATACAATTTAACAAGCAAAAACGACATAACACACACAAAAAGAAAAAAGCTTTTTCCACCATCTACATTATAATGTAATGAAGAACCAGTACAAAAGAATGTGATTACTCATATTCTTCAGCTGAATAAATGATGATCCTTAGGCTGATCTTGTTCAAATGCATATTCAAAAGAAAATTACATAAACAATTCACAATATAATAGACAGCAAAAACGCAACTCTACAGATACTAAAAAAAATTGAGAGAAGTAGGAAAAGATAAGAATGTTACTGAGTGACATGGACATCGCGGACTTCACGGCCGTGAGCTTTGTAAGTTTTGATGTGAACTCCACGGTGAGGATTCCATAGCCGGATGGTACGGTCTTTGCCGCAGCTCAGTGCGTACTCGCCGTTGCTATTGAACCTCGCCGCCAAAACAGCTCCGGCGTGTCCTTCCAGCACATGTACCTTCTGCTTCGGCAGTTGTACAGCGGTCATCTTCGCCGGTAACAGAGCTCTGTAAGAGCAAATCAAACAAATATAAAATGGGCTTTATATCACAAAGGTATTTGGGACTAACATGATATAAGCCCATACACTATTATATAACGCCTCGTTACGCAAATAGCCGGACAAATTGTATATAACAGCAAATTAATAATCTAAAATAAATGGAGTAGGTAAGATTTGATTTAATTGTGCTCCATAGCAAACGTTAGCCAAAAGTTGTCTGGCGCATCTCTCCCAAAATTGTATAAATCGAGAGAAAATTGTATATGCACATGCAAAAACATATATCTTCGTGTTATACACCATTATACAATTTACAAACATTTTACTTCAATTCAATTGTAGGAAAATGCAAATTTTATACAAATATTACAGAGAAAAAGGTCAACGAATTATACAATTGCGAATAATACAATTGCAGTGAAATACAATTTTCTCTAGCTTTATACAACAGAAGTGTATATATTGTGTTTCTGTTTTTGTATAAAACGAGAGAAAAACATATATCTTCTTGCAATACACTTATAATTATGCAATATACATACATTTTAATTCAATTCAATTGTTTGCAAAGCAAATTTTATAAAAATATTGCAGCGAAATATGCAGTGCATTATACAATTGCAGTGAAATAAGATACCGAATTATACAATTGCAGCGAAATAGGCCGATGAATTCAGCGAATTATACAATTGTATATGTATAGCGAATTATACTGTTTTATATTTTTGCTATGGAGTGCAATTATGCAAACTTTGCTATAGCATACAAATATGAATTTTTTGTTTGTTACATGTGAAAGTTGTCCTTTATTATATACCTTTTTCCCCCCAGCAAATTCAATATGTGCAAATGTACCTTTATTTTTACATAGTTATATAAATACTATACAAATATATGGAGAAAATTTCAAAAAAATACAATTACCTAAATCAGCCCAAAATTTGGGTTATACCATATATCTTTAGCCCAAAACTCAATTCGATATATAATAATATACATTCGATATATTTATATATATAAAACTTACATATTTTCTTCTTACAATTCTTCTTTAAAACATGATATACAATATTATCAAAATAGTTATTTTTGATAAATCGATTGAAATGATTGAAGATGAATAATTGAAATTAATCAGATTTTAATGTGGATATCAGACATCGAATGATAAAATAAAAAAAAATGAAGAGCTAACACATATGAGATTAATTTCTCATTCAATGTTCACTTTATTACTATCCCATTATTGTATACGTATTAATCATCCCAAGGCTTTTGAGTTTCATGCAATAACACCAAATACATAAGTTTCAAAAAAAATGTCATTTACTCAAGAGTCCCCTCCTCTCCCCCCCTCTAAACTCCCTATAAAATCCCTTTATTAACTTTCAACTTTTCTCATCCTAATTTTCTTTTTCAACAATGGCTTTGAATTGTTACACTTTCTTCTTAATCATGTTAACTTATTCAACAATCACAAATTTAAGCCATGTTCATTCATCTAGAGACATACCAAGACATGATGAATCAACTACTCAAGGAAGTATAATGGATTGTTTTAATGCATTGGCTGAGATAAAATCATGCACAAATGAGATAGTTGCTTACTTCACAATTGGCACAATTGATATTGATTTGCCTTGTTGTCAAGCCATTTTTGTCATCACACATCATTGTTGGCCTAGTATGCTTACTACACTTGGTTTCACCCTTGAAGAAACTAATATGTTGAGAGGTTATTGTGATGCAACTCATCATAATGTTTCTCCTAATAGTTTTGGTCCTGCCCCTTCTCCATTGGTGTTACCTAATTTGGATATCATAAATGAGTGATAATATTATATGGTTCCAAGTATGCCACTCATTAGTTATATGTAGTTTTATCTAAAATGTTAGTATCATGTTTGGGAAAACCTTGTATTTTTCCATAGCTCCAATATAATGGTGGTTGTTAATTTGTGAAGATCGATATGATGTTGCCTGATTTTTCTAAATAAATTTGGTTTATATGTACGTATGTATCTTGTTTATTAAAAAAATGCTCTTTATGTCCCATTTTAACGGTCATTTTAGTTTTTTTTCTTCGTTTTATTAAGATAAAACAATAAACACAAAATAGATCTAAAATTCTACCAGAAACCTGACTTCGATTCAGAACCTGACCTAGACTTTGATTCGATTGTGACAATAACCATAGCAATGTAGTAAAACAACAATCTACAAACCAATGAAGTTATATCAATAATGAAGCTAACAACTTTGGTTAAATAATTCTCAAACAATACATGAAATTTGATATAAGATCCCCATACATTACAATTCCAATGTCAAGTGTTGCAAGTCCTGTAGGCTGCAGCATGACAATACTTTCTTCAAGAAAATCAATACACCATTGCTTTTTCAGTTTAAGCACATCAGTGTCTTGCATCTCCGCTGAGTGTTTAGAAGTTGATGCCATTTTGTTGTCTTCAGGTGCCACAAGGCTCTTTGATACTGCGCGTGGATACATAAGTTGAACTCAAGTTTATGAATGACTTTATGTCTTTCTTTCCCTCAACTTCAACCCATTTGTCATCAACCCAGTCTCTTGAGGTCCTCACATTCTTCCTTTCAGTCTCCAGTAATATGTTCTCGCCTATTATTGACATAAAAAAACACCTAGGGGCATCAGTCTATGACCAACATCGATCATTTACTTAACTTTTTAAGTTATTACATACCAGGGAAGTAAACCTGAAGCTGATCGCTTCCATGGACATCACATCCAGCAACAACACCTTCCCACCATCCGTCAGACCACCAAGCGTCAACTGCAGCTCCTACTTCAAAAGAATAGTCAGAAGAATCCACCAGAGGTCGGGGCCTAACTGTGAGGCGTCCTGTAGATCTCATGCCCAATTTATCAGAGACTGCGACTCTGTAGGAAGGAATCCATTCCTATAAATAAAGGAGAGGTGATTAGGAAGAAGGGTGAAGGGAGAACAACATTATAAATTATAGTCACGATGGTTAAGGTACCTCGAGCTTTTCAGGACCATCACCATCCTGGATGTCATCATATTGAACTTTTAGACGTTTTTGAGATACCCGTAAGACCTTACACCTAAACCAGCAGCCTCTCATGCCACTATCATTGCAAAGAACCTCTAAGTTGTCATCAACTTCAAAAGACAACTTATTTTGAGGCTCAACAAGCTGAATTCCAATCGGTCTTACACTTGGAAATTTTATTTTCAACTTTGGGTAAGTTGGTGGTTTGGATTTTGATATCTGGTTACCAGGAATTGACTTTCTGATACCAGAATGGCTACTCACATCGACACTTCTACTCCCACTAGATCTTTGCGCTGAAGGATCTTCTCGGGTTATATTTTTTGAGACCTCATCAGATATGTGCCCAGCCGTTAAAGCACTTCTTCTCTTTTCACTTCTTGGGGTATCTACAAGATAACAGGGATTATCCATCTCCGGATGCAAAGAAATGAGAGCATTTGATGTACATATACGCCAATAAATACTGCAAATCTCATGTAACAGAAATCTTAGACTGCTACATGTTTATACATACCTGAAATTGGTGGTGATCGGTGATGCTTTGAAATCAAAAACGTCAGCCATTCCTCTACCTCTTTTTTTGTACGCCACTTCGTGTCAGAATTTACGGTACTTGTATGCCCAAAAGCATCCAAATAATCCTCTGAGACAACATATAGTATGTGCCTTGTACTTCTTTCAGTACCCACCACAACAAGGAGTAACTCCCCTGAGGTATCCTTCAAGTAGTAGTGAACAACACGACGTCCCTTCCCCTGAGAAACAACGTGCTCTTCCCACGATATAAATACATGATTATCTGTATCCATCCTGATGCCACAGAGAAACAGTTTGGATTAATCGAAAACAGTCCAGTTCTTAACACACTCATCCAGAAACATAAACAAACATTTTAGGTAACAATCATTTCGGAAAAATAACAAGAGTAGCAGAGGTACAAGAAATAATAGATAGTACTGAAAATCGAAGGACAAGAAACAACAGGGGCAATAGCATGACTACTAATTTGAACGGACAGGAAGAGTCATGAGCAAACATAATCCTCTCCTAAGTTCTGCTACAATTTAGGAACCGGTTGAACAAACAGAAATGATTGTAATTAAGAGCATCAGATACAAAGAAGAGATTTTTCTAACGATTAGCTCCTGATGACCACATAAACAATGAAAAAACAGCATCAAACCACATCTGCAGATGAAACACAGACAGAATCTAGCAAAATCCAAAGATAAACTAACCTTGATTCCAGAAAGCTCAAAGAACAAATATTATATTTTCGAGAATTACCAAAAAAGGACCAAAATCACAATGAAAAACAACAATGAAGCCCAAATCTCCGTGAAAAACGAAAAAAAAAGATTAACCATTAACAAGAACAAGAACAAAAACACAGAACATTGAACCAGCATTGAGCATACATCAAGTGATCACACTTACATCAAATAGTTTTGTGTTGGAAAAGAAAACAAGAAGCAAAAAAGAACCTGGAATTCAAGAAAAAAGCTAAGCGCGTAACTAGTACTGACTGACCTCAAAAATAGCAAAAGCTTGTTGCTTTATGGAGAAACTGAGCTAGAGAAAAAGCCAGAGAATGCTGAGTTGTTCTTTTTGTTCTACAAGCAGTGGCAGTTAGGGAAAAGGATAGAGTAAAGAGTAAAACAACAAGAATTGAAGAACGAGAAGGGACGGTGGGGGGTGGGAGAAAAAGCCAAATGCCATTGTTGACAAGTGACAACACAAACAAAAAGGGAGAAACACAAAACTGAAGCTTTTGAGGTTTGGCCTTACACTAACAAAATTAATGTTACAACAATATTCGTCACAGATACTTTTTTCCAAAATTAAACTTACAAATCCAATCTTGCATCCATTTCACGCTCATATCAGGTCGAGGTACAGAAAACCCCCCTGTAAGATTAGGTCCAATTTATCACAATTGTTAGTTAACATGTTGGTTATATATTCAGAAACACGGAAAATATCATTGGCTCATCAAATCACTTCTTCATTATTTGTTGAATGCTATATAAAACACCCCCATTGCAACAACAACAACATACCAGTGTAATCCCACACCATCGTTTAACCCCATTCTCATTTAGGATGGAAGTTCAAAAGAGGTGAGATTGCGCCTTTGCACGTTAGAGCAAGAATGCCATCAACTTTTATATGATACTCACGGAGAAAGACATACACATGCTATCAAGAAAAAGAAAGGAGAATAGCATCAACAACGTACATTCTTCATCAATTATCTCGCTCATTGACTAGAGCAATGACTGATTAAACAAAAGGCCGAGAACTGTAAAACCCCCTTCCCCTTATATATCAAAGAGCTAAAATCGACTGTATAAGGAAAAATAAGAGTCACTTATTCATCATTCTGTTACTGGGAAACTTCAGGGCAATGCAATAGCAAGTGATTTACAGTCTCGAAGAACATCAGATACAAAGAAGAGAGTTTTTCTAACGATTAACACCTGATGACCATATAAACAATGAAAAAAACAGCATCAAAGAACAATAATACTAGTGTGTTTCCACTGCTGATAAACTGTAACACATGCTCATAGGGAACTTCATAAAGTTTCAATTTTTATGCATAACCGATAAGAGAATGTGTATACAGAACAAGAACATGCCAAATTCTTGGCAAAGAGTGCTTTCTATAAGAGGCCTATTCCATATTTTGTTGTCAAAGACCTATACATTTGCAAAGGAAAATGTCAGTTCTTGTTATCTGCAAGAAAATCTATTTCCCATCGCTTTTTCAGTTTAAGCACATCAGTGTCTTGCTTCTCTGCTGAGTGCTTGGAAGTGGAAGTCATTTTGTTGTATTCAGGTGCCATAAGCCTGGGAGCCATCTGATTTTCGCAGCTCTCAGGCTCGTTGATATTAAACCTGGATGCATAAGTTAAGCTTGAGTCTATGAACGACTTTGTGTCTTTCTTTGGCTCAACTTCAATCCATTTGGCATCCACCCAGTCTCTTGAAGTCCGCACGTTCTTTCTTTGGATCTCCAGTGATATGTTCTCGCCTATTATTGAGATAAGAAAAAACACATTGGAGCGTCAGTCCATGATCAATATCGATCATTTAAACTTACGGACAACAAATTATTTCTTACCAGGGAAGTAAAGCTGAAGATCACTGCTTCCAAAGACATCAAATCCAGTTACAACTCCTTCCCACCACCCGTCCGACCACCAAGCATCAACTGCAGCTCCTAGTTCAAAAGAACAGTCGGAAGAATCCTCCAGAGGCTGGGGCCGAACTGTGAGGCGTCCTGAGCTTCTCATGCCCAATTTATCAGAGACTGCAACTTTGCAGGAAGGAATCCATTCCTATAAATCAAGCAGAGGTGATGAGAAGACAGGGTGAAGAGAGAACGGAACAGTCAATATACGTAAGTAGATCATAAGCTATAGTTGAAGTGGTTAAGGTACCTTGAGCTTTTCAAGACTTTCACAATCCTGAATGTCGTTATATTGAACGTGCATATGTTTTTGTGATACCTGCAATACTTTACACCGGAACCAGCAGCCTTTCATGCCACTATCGTTGGAAAGAACCTCTATATTGTCACCAACATCAAAAGATCGCTTACGTTGAGGCTCTACAAGCTGAATTCCTACTGGTTCTATGTTTGGATATTTTATTTTTAACTTTGGGTAAGTTGGTGGTTTTGCTTGTGCTATCTGGTTACCTAGAGTTGACTTTCTGATACCAGAACGGCCACCCTCCCTGACACTTCTACTCCCACTAGGTCCTTGCATCGAAGGATCTTCTTGGGCTATCAAAGCACTTCTTCTTGTTTCTCTTCTTGGGGTATCTGCAAGATAAGGGAAGTCTAAATCATAAGCAACTTTGCAGCATATACAGCAATTTTCTTCATGTGCATATAACCATCAAGAAGAACAAAGAATTCATTTTTGAAATATGGCAACAATATTATGACAACATTTACCAAGTACATCAAACCAAAGGCTCCTGAGCCACCTGGCCTACAGTTCTTTATAGAAAATCTACTCTAAAACTGGCTAGTAATTAATTGGGATATACATGAACATCAAACCACAATACAAAACATATACACCAATGTCAATTAAAAGCAAAGCACACAGAGGAAGTCAAAAAATGCATCAACAGTAAAAGGATTACCAAACATGCATGATATTAAGGATCACATAAGACGCATAAGGGGAAAATGAAAAAGATAAAGGAAAATCAAAACTGCATACTGCACATTTAAACAATAGATCTTTGCAATATCAAGATATAAAATAAATTGTTCAAATGAAATTCAGGAAGACTCTGTTATTCGTTGAACGCTATGTAAAACACCCCCTTTACAGCAACAACAACAACAACAACGTACCAGTGTAATCCCACACCATTCTTAACTCTACCTTGTAAAGATAGATAGACCCTCAACTCCCTTGCCCCCACCACCTAACTTAAGGGCCAACTGACCTTCTCTTTACCTCAAGGACCATTTTCTAGCGTTGAACCCCTTCCTCATTCAAAATGGAAGTTGAAAAGAGGGAGATACATTAGAGCAAGGATGCCATCAAGTTTTATGTGATACCCACAGAAAAGACTAAAAAGAAAGGAGAATAGCATTAACACTACATTCTTCATCGGTTATCTTGACAATTAACAAGAGCAAGAACTGATTAAACAAAAGGCTGAGAATTGTAAACCTCCTTTCCGTTTTATGTCAAAGAGCTAAAATCGACTGTATCAGGAAAAAGAAATCTTACATTCTAGACTTTTATCAGGGGAAAACAAAGATGACATAATGCAGTAGGAAACTCTTATGTCGATTTCTTTGTTTCCCTTTTCAGTTGTTAAAACTTTTACCTCGGTCTGTCCGCAAACTCTATGAAAGCTGAATATACAGGAAAGATGTCATCGGTTATCTTGCCAATTAACTAGAGCATGAACTGATTAAACAAAAATCCGAGAACTGTAAACTCTCTTTCCCTTTTATGTCAAAGAGCTAAAATCAACTGTATCAGGGAAAAGAAAGATATACATTCTAGACTTTTATCAGGATTCAGGAGAAAACAAGGACGACATACTGTAGTAGGAAACTCTTATCTCGATTTCTTTGTTTCTCTTTTCAATTGTTAAAGCTTTTACCTCGATCCCTCCGCAAACACTATTAAACTGAATATAGAGGAAAGATGGACTCAGAAGGTTAGATACAACATTGAGAATACTAAGATGCTAAGTAACAGTTGTATTTATTTTGTATGTACCTCAAGTGCAGTAAAACACAAGGAAGCAGGTATTCTTGTATAACACAATTCTGTGTGCATTCTGGTATTACAAAGTTCCACTAAAATTACTAGCGCTTCATGCGGGAATTTATTAAATAATACTTACGTAGTAACAAACATAAATAATGTAAAGCAAAATGAAAATTACTACATCTTATCATTTATCCTTAATATCATAAGCATAAGTTAATGATTATAAAAATACATACTAGGTGAGCCACTCAACAGGAGCAAAGTAAACTAATATTTAATTGTGAAGAAGAAGAAGAGGTGGTTCAGAAACTTTGTTATTTTAAAATGAGAGAAGATCTCCCTATTTATAGACAACAAAGGGTAGTGTGAACAAATATTTATTGTGCCTTATCAGAAAGGTTACAACTATATCGAAAGGTCGCAACCCTTCGGAAAGGTCGCAACCTTTCATAAAAGTCACAACTCTTCATAAAAGTCGCAACTCTTCATTAAAGTCGCAACTCTTCATGAAAGGGAAAGACTTGTTTTGGAAATAAATAAATTATTAGGGAATTCTGGATTGTGGTGGCGCCATGTAGGCGGGCCTAAAGTTCTCTTTAATATATATGATATGATATTTGATATGATATAGGACATATTATGATATGATTCTATGCACAGGTAAATATTCAAGTAATCTAATACTTCAATGGAAAACATTTTCCATCATATCGCACACAGACTTAAGAAAGAAGCAGCGGCAAGAAGATAGATATTCATCAAAAAAGTAAAAGGCAATGTTAGCGCCTAAGCTAATTAAGAGCTTGAAGTTTCCCCTTTAGCTATTCTTTCAAACATTGTCCCGTCCAAGTCTTTTAAGGGCCTGTTTCACTTTTTCTTTAAGTTGTATTCCGGAATCATGTTTGGACATAGAATTGTTAGAGTACATGTTTTCACATTTTCACTCCAAATCACTCATAAAAATTTGGCATTTTTCCCAAGTTGTGTTGACGTCCAAATACAACTTAAATTTCCAATTACCACTTTTCAATTTTTTTTCAAATACTACTTTCTTTCTCTTATATTTTTTTACATATTTCACATATTAATGTCCCAAACATTCACTAAAATAGTATAAGCCCTTCTAGTATCTAAGTACCGATGAAAATTCCCTCCAAGGGAGGAATTAAAGTCTTGGTTACAGGTTTGGCCGAACCCAATACCTTTGGTCCAAACACTAGATTTGCATTAAAATATTCATTGACTATGGACAAATTATTAATTCAGAAACCAATAACTTAGAAGGACTAGAATCCCAGACCCACAAACTTAAAATCCTGGCTCTGCCTCGGAGTTTCCCTCTCACCCACAATAAAAGCTTACTGACACGGCAAGTCGATAAGATGAACAAGACATAAGACCATGTTTTTATGAGCTTACCCCCTTCTTTTATGCTTTTTCTTGAAGAAAAGAAGGAAATGACCTAGTTAAAACAGCTATATGAATGCGATATATCAATTCACCTCTATACGGACCTGAATCCAATATTCAAAGCATTCATTTGGGATGAATTTTTAGCTGGTCCTCCACCTAGTAAAACCCTCTTTGGATCTTCTTGTTTAACTAGTCACAGAGTTCCCATACAATTTTAATACATTCATGAAATTGTGTATTAAAAATAGTTCTTTATCGTTTATACTGTAGCTTTCTATTAATGGCAGCCTAAAACTCGACATTCAAAAGTCTTATGACCACCTCAATTGGAAGTTCCTGTTGGAGACTCTTTCTAAAAGGAGTTTCGGAGGTAGATGGTTAAGATAGATGAAGTTTTGCATCAGCACCGTGAAATTGTCAGTGCTAATAAATGGCTCTCCCACAGGTTTCTTCTCTTTGCAGAGAGGTTTAAGACAAGGAGATCCATCATCTCCCTTTCCTATTATTATCACTATGGACGGGCTAAATGAATTAAAAGATTTGGTACCTTAATGACATCAAAAGAAAAGGAGTTTCCTAACACAATGATTAAAATATGATTCAAAACTTAAAATGTAAGGATGTGCAAATTTTTATGTTGGCTGCTATATATGAATAACAACAAAACCAACTCCAACATCTAAGTGGCTGCGCGCAGCTGTTCGATACGGGTGTGGATCTAGAGTAGAGTTTTAGTTTCAAATTACAAGGCATTAAATGGAAATATTACAAGGTGTTATGAGGAAAATCTATTGATCAAAAAGAAGATTTCTAGAAGGAGATATATGGAAAAGCACTAACATAGAAATTTCTATATACAAGGAACTCATTTTATTTAATTTCACCTTAGCTTTTGTTTTGATTATAGAAATCATTGTTCTATCTCGAATTCCTCCATTGATTTTGGTTAAGTATCCAAAATTAGTTGATCAATCTCATGCTTGCACTCTATGTTGCTCGGCAGGGGCAGACCTAGAGTCAGCCGAAGGGGTTCACCCGAACCTCCTCGGCAAAAAAATTTGTTGTATGTTTAAGGTAGTTTTAAGAATTTTTATGTTTATATATTGATTTTGAACCTCTTGAATATAAGATTAGAAGTTGACTTAAAAGTTTAAATCTCAAATCTTAAGCACTACTCTCTTTTTTATCGAACCCCCTTAAAGGAAATTCTTAATCCGCCACTTTGCTCGGGCTCTTCAAAAATATCAATGGATGCGTGTTGGTTTCTATAGAAGCATTGTATTTTTTATGAATCCAACACGGGTGCAACATCAAAAAGTAGAAAGTACATGCAACTTAGCCCACACCCATATCATGTCGACATGGGTGCAACACCGAAAAATGAAGAGTCTTAGAAGTTAAATGTGAGTACATCCAGTTCTTGGTCCCTATGTTTTATGATGTGATAGGAAATAATGTATCTAGGCACTCAAAGTTCAAAAATTGGTGTGTTGGATCCATAAGCAATTGCTTCTAATCCAACTGATTATTACATGTTTCACTTACAAAATGTAAATTTGCTTTAAGCAATTTTCTTCTCTAGTCTCCATACACATTTTGAAATCACCTAAATCAACGAAGAAAGGGGAAGGGAAATGCTATATCGGGACCGGGGACAGAAAAAGAAACAACTCTGAATAAAAGAATTAGGGTTCCTAATGCTTCTCCATGCTCAATGAGATGCACCAACCTTGGGATGCTTTACTCCTAATACCACAAGGTTTCAATACGGAGCTTAACATGAGTCTTTGGTTAAAAAGAGGGATGACATACATTCTATGCGGAACATAATTCCATGGATATTTTCATCCGAGATCGTAATGGAGGACATAACTTACGATCATCGTTTTTGCTTGACGATCGGGAATGTATTTCCTTATTCTTGACAATAAAAATTATGCAAACATGATGAATACCATTTATATAATAGAGAATAAATTTAAAGTGAAAAGATTGAATAGTCACTACATCAAAAATGATCATTAGCGGCAGTTAATTTTTAATTGCTGCAAAATATATATTTTTAGCGCCAATTAACACTCTTTGTATATGTTCCTAAAGCTTTTAGCGAAATTGATTCTAATGGCACTTAACTAATGCCGGTAAAGACTTTAACACTCTTTATTAATGTCAATTTTTAATGCCGCTAAAAGTTGTTTTTGTTGTAGTGAGTACACCAGTTGTCTTAGTTAGATAGTAAGAAGTATAACCTAAAAAGACTAATGAATATCAATTAATCGAATAATTTAATCCTAACAAGATGAACAATGTTCACCCTTAATCTTCTCATATTAATTGAATATTACAAATCTTACAATTCATTTCTACCACTAGGCCATACTCTTTGGGAGCTAATCTCGCCATATTTGTTATGTGATGATAGTGAGGAAACCCATAATTTCTATGACTATTTGTCTATTGCCTGGCGAAGAGAGTACACAGGAGCCTCTCAACAAGGGCGGGATAAAATACATTGTGAAAGTTCCTTTTAAGGTAGTGTGCTTTTCTTGGCTCGTAGAAAGAAATGATTGTCTCTCACAGGATAAAGCTCAAAGAAGGGAATTTCAATTGTGTTCTAGATGCTTTTGTGCGGAGCTGCTAGGGAAAATAAGAGTTACTTATTCATTCATTGTCCTGTTACTGAGAAATTATGGCGACTATTCTTGAACATGGTAGGAATCAGATGATATCATTTATAAGGGAAAGGTTGTTCCAGCTATAAAGATTCAGCAAACATTTAGATTTAAAAGAGCAAATGGGAGTTGAAGTCCCATCATGACACTAATTGTTTTGGCACATAAAACACATGTTCACCGCTGGAATGCCTCTTTTTCTCATGTCCAACGGAAACCCTTAACTTTGGGGTGGGGGTGGGGGGTTGTATTCCAGACCACCGTCCAGGGACAAGGTGTCATCATTCCATCTGTTGCATTCAATTGAATCCAGACCACCTTCCACGACATAATGTAGTTTCTTTCCTGTCAAAGCTTAAGATTCTTTCATCTACAAACTCATCAAAAAGGGATTTTTCATCTTCAAATTAGATTAGCAAAGCACTGTAGCAAATGAATATTTCACAAAAAGCGAAACTGATATCAACTTGATAAAGTTTGGTCATTCACAGAACTTGAACATAGTTGCTTTTAGACATGGTCACAAGACATCTTCCGTCTCTAGATTGATCGGGTGTAGCCAGCAGCCAATATTCTATGATCAACTTCTTCAGGAAATGCTATAAATACTAGAAATGAGAGAATTTGATGTACATGTACGTCAATAAATACTGCAAATCACATGTAACTGAAATCTTAAACTGCAACATGATTATACGTACTTGAAATAGGTGGTGATTGGTGTTGCTTTGAAATTAAATTTGTCAGCCATTCCACTACGCGTTTTCTTGTACGCCACTTTGTGTCAGAATTTATGGTACTTGTATGCCCAAAAGCATCCAAATAATCCTTTGAGACAACATATAGCATGTTCTTTGAGCTTCTTTCAGTACCTACAACAGCAAGGATTAACTCCCCTGAGGTATCCTTCAAGTAGTAGTGCACAACACGACGACCCTTCCCCCGAGAAACAAAGCGCTCTTCCCACGAACTAAATACATGACTATCTGTATCCATCCTGATGCCACAGAGAAACAGTTTGGATTAATAAAAAAATAGCCCAGCTCTTAAACACCCTCATCCAGAAACATAGAATCATTTTAGGCTAAAGAATCATGAGCAAACATAATCCTCCTAACTTCTGTTACAATTTAGGACCCGATCAAACAAAGATAAATGATTGGAACAAAAAACATCAGATACAAAGAACAGATTTTTCCAAAATTCGCTATGAAAAAACAGCATCAAACCACAACCCCAGAGTTTTGTTTATCTAAAGATAAACCAACCTTAATTCTAGAAAACTCTCAATAAAGCTCAGCTACTAAGAACAGATAATTTTTTCAAGAATTACCAACCAAGGATCAAATTCACGATGAAAAACAACAATGAAGCCCAAAACCAAGTGAAAAATGAAATACGGTATGCTGATTTTCAAAGATTAACCATGTACAAGAACAAAAATACAGAACATATTGAGCAGACATCAAGTGATCACACTTACATCAAATAGCTTTGGATCGGAAAAGCAAACAAGCAGCAAAAGAAGAACCTGGAATTCAAGAAAAACAAGCTAAGCATGTAACTAGTACTGACTGACCTCAAAAATAGCAAAAGTTTTTTCCTTTATTGAGAAACTGAGTTAGAAAAAAAAAAAGCCAGAGAATGCTGAGTTGGGTGTGTTGTCTAGAAGCGGTGACAGTTAGGGAAAAGGATAGAGTAAAGAGTAAAAGAACAAGAAAAGAAGAAAGAGAATCAGGGAGAAAAAGCCAAATGCCATTGTTGCCAACACAAGCAAAAGGTTTGAGCTTTGATTTTTTGTTTGAACTTCTTTGTGACAGGTGGAAGCAACAAGAGGGGAGAAACACAAAACTGAAGTTCTTTGAGTTTTAGCCTTTACACTACACAAAATTAATGTTACAACAGTATTATTCACAAAAATGTATTCCAAAATTAAAGTAAACACTCTGATCTTGAACCCGTTTCATGCTCATGTCAGGTTGGGGTAGTACAGAAAGAAAAAACTGCGAAATTCTATTCAATTTAATATGTTGGTTTATCTGTATTTTTAAACATGAAAAGATTCTTTGGCTTATCAAATAATGTGCAGAGCCGTGAAAAAAATTCAATAAAAGACAAAAACAAATCACTATTCGTAATAGAAACTTCAATTTGTTCACAATATTAATCATATTTTCTGATAAACAGCTTTAATCAGCAAATTTTGAATTGATTGATTCAGAGTCTTAATTATCAAACCAGCTATGAGGCCGTACCACGGAACTAAGAATAAAAGGTGCATTACTCGAAGCAATCAGTATTAAAAACTAAACAAAGAATATGAAAATGAGAAGGAGGTTTAACCACTTCTTTTCGTAGCAAATAAAAAGCTCATGATGTTTCTCTCAGAGAACATGAAAAAATCAATCTGAGAGCTTGAGTAATTTTTTTTGATGACAAGGAAAACTGCAGTCGCTATCCTTTGAGTGCACACAGGGTAAAACCCCGCTCCTATGCAATAGCTCGCAAACCACATAGGAGAAGTAACCCACACTAGGCAAGTCCGGTGCGACGAGCTCGACCCAGAAGGCAAACCCCTTGCTTTTGCTAGCAAGGGGTTTCAAACTTGAGAACTCCAACATGAAAGTCCCAAGCCCTAACCAATGGGCCACCCCCAAGGGTTCTCTGACAGCTTTAGTAATCGAAACCAAAAAATAAGCGATCAAAAGATAACCTAATAAGAATCAAGAGGTTGTAACATGATAATGGAAAAATCAGGCAACAATATTTCTCTGTTCACTTAATTTGAAATGCTAAATATATACCACAAAATAATTTGTTTTGAAATGCCTTGTCTGCAAATGCCATAGAATGCATTCCAGACAACACATTCTTAATGCCACAAGGAAGTGTATCAGTTTCTCTCCCGAGACCACTTTTCAGTGCGAGAATTTCATTAGGTAGTTGGTAATCATCTAATTCACCACCATATTTGACATCGTGAATAATAAGGATCTTATAGTTGCCACTAGTTGAGTCATAAAGGCAATCCGAAATTCCTCCAGGAGAGATAGTGGATGTGGAAGTGCAATTGATTCTTTTGTGGAGAGATTACATAGCAACAGGTTGACATTCTCGAAATCCACATTATTATCACAAAACGTGATAATAGTCAAGCCATTGCAAAAACAATTGATTGCGCAAAACCCTGGTTTAGAGTTTGAAGGGCAATCAAGTTACTGTACATCATCGACAAAATACATGCGACTGTGGTTAGAACAAGAAACACAAAATATACTTTTTGATGACAAAAACAAAGCATACTAAAGTAATTACTGAGGAGGATAAGTTCCCATTTATTCTTCAAACAAGGATTATCCATCTCCGGGATACAAAGAACGACCATCAGTACACCACTCGGCACTCTAGTTTTAATCCAGATGCACAACTAAATTCAGCTTGTGCCGGGAAAACTGAAGTGAGGAACAAAAATCACAAAATTAAAATGGAACTGGAAATAACTTTTCACCATCTCCACTGCTCCCTCCCCGAAAAATCCACGAAGGAGGCTTCTTTATAGAAAGATAATTGCAACATAGCTTAGTTTCTTTCCTTTCAAAGCATAAGATCTTTCATCTATAAACTCACCAAAAAAGGATTTTTCATCTTCAAATTAAATTAGCAAAGCACAGTAGCTGATGAATAGTTAACAAAAAGTGAGACTGATTTTAACCTATCAAATTGATAAAGTTTGGACATTCATTGTACTTGAACATTGTTGCTTTTAGACATGATCATAAGACATCTGTCATCTCTAGATTGATCGGGTATAACCAGCACCCAATAATCTACAATCAACTTCTACGAGAAATGCTAAATACTAGAAATGGGAGCATTTGATGTACATGTACGCCAATAAATATTGCAAATCTCATGTAACTAAAATCTTAGACAGCAACATTATTGAAATAGATGGTGATCAATGATGCTTTAAAATCAAATACGCGTGTCATTCCACTACCTCTTTTCTTGCACGCCACCTTGTGTCGGAATTCATGGTACTTCTGTGCCCAAAAGCATCCAAATAATCCTCTGAGACAACACATAGCATGTGGCTTTAACCTACTCCCCTGAGGCATCCTTCAAGTAGTAGTGCACAACACGACAGCCCTTCGCCTGACAAACAATGTGCTCTTCCCACAAACTAAATACATGAATATATGTATCCATCCTGATGCCACAGAAAAACAATTATTTTAGGCTAAAGAGTCATGAGCAAACATAATCCTCCTAAGTTTCGTTATAATTTAGGACCCAAACCGAAATGACTGTAACTAAGAACATTAGACATCAGTACATCAAAAATGATCATTAGCAACAATTAACCTTCTTTGTATATGTCACTAAAGTCTTTAGTGACATTGCTTCTAATGACACTTAATTAATATCGATAAAGACTTTAGCACTCTTTATTAATTTATTAATGTCAATACTTATTGCCGTTAAAAGTCGTTTTTATCGTAGTGCATAAAGAAGACATTTTTCCAGCAATTAGCTCCTGATGATGACCATATAAACAATTCAAAAAACAGCATCAAACCACAACTCCAAGTGAAACACAAACAGAATTTTGCTTAAACCAAAAATAAACTAACCTTACTTCAAGAAAATTCTCAGTACACTCAGCTACAAAGATCAGATTTTTTTTTCAAGAATCACCAACCAAGGACCAATTAATCCCAAACCCACATGAAAAACGAAATGGGGTTTGCTGATTTTCAAAGTTTTATCATATACAAGAACAAAAACACACAAAAATAAGCAAAAGTTTGTTGCTTTACAAAGAAACAGAGCCTAAACAGTATCTTTCTAGTTATGGTAGCAGCCGAGGTCTTGCCTCTTTTATTTTGGGGCCATCTCTCAATTGATTTTGCCACTTTTATATAATATAATATAAAGTCCATATATATATATTTATATTTTAATTATATTTCGTTAGTAAATCAATTGTTTTTGATTGACGAATTAAAGTAAATATAACTTGCATGTATACTACATCGAAGTTTTATATAGACTTTTATTTTTACATGTCGATTTGTTTAATTTTAGATCGAATTCAAACTTATGAATTTGTCCCCTTTTTTATTAATTATTTTTATAAAAAAAGAGTAAAATTTAATTATATTTATCTTAATTGATTAGTTAACATGTTGGTTATATAGAAAATAATTTATTGACTTATCAAATTATCATAATATTGATCCGTCTAATAATAGGACCTCTCCAGCAATGGAGATGAACTTATCTTATACTCTATTCATTTCATATTACTTGACATCGATACTGAATCATGAGAATTATGTTATATTTTTCTCAATCCATCAATATTATTAAATAACTACATAAAATAGTAATAGTCAAATTTAGAATTTCAAATCATCATTAATAAAGTTAGTTTAGTAAAATTCACATTAATTTTTTTTTTATTAAAAAATCCAAAAGTTTTACCTTCAATTATTTGGGCGTTTCTAATAATTAAGCTCATACATTGTACTGAGTGTACGTTTTAAACATTTGGATACTGAAAAGAAAATTTAGTTTCATTTTTCTTCTATTGACTTTATATTGTAGGCTTATAGCTACGTAAAGAAATTGTAATAGTCAGATTTAAAGTTCTTAAAATATCATTAATAAAGTTAATTTTATAAAACAAAACTTTTAATTAAATATTTTTTAAAGGATGTGTCAAGTCAATATGAGTCAAGTAATATAAAGCAGATAATATATTGGTTATACAAAAATTAAATCGATAAAAACCCTTCAGATGCCAATGTTTAATTGGACCACTAATCATATATTTGATTAATTTCTCACATAATATATCGGTTATACAAAAATTAAACCTCTCATGTACTTGGATTAATTTCCCACATAATGATATTAACTCTTTCACCTTCCTATCATAAATCCCTATAGCACTATATAATCCCACACGTCCTCCATAGTTTTTCTTATACAATTATTACACGAATCCCACTATTTTTTTTGCTAATAATTAACTACATGATGAATAGTACTATCATGATCTTCAAAATTGTACTATTACTTACCCTAATTTCATGGATTAATATTCTTCAAGCTCGACCTTTAACCACATCTAGTATTGGTCGTGCTACTACACTTATGACACATTTAAAATTACAAGATGATAAAGAAGACTCATCAGAATGTTGGGATTCATTATTCGAGCTCCAAGCATGTACGGGAGAAATCGTGCTTTTTTTCGTTAATGGTGAAACCTATCTAGGTCAAGATTGTTGTAGTGCTATAAGAATTATTGAAAGACAATGTTGGCCATCTATGCTTGATTCTCTTGGTTTTACTTCTCAAGAAGGTGATATTTTGCACGGATATTGTGATGCTAGTGAGTCTCCAACTCCTAATTTGGCTCCATAAGTAGATTAATTAATTTTAATGTTGCAAAAATAAATTAAAAGGATTTTAAAGTATTGTTATTGAACACGAATATTATCGAAGAATATATTAAAGTGCAATTTTCTTATTTGAGTTCTAAAAAAAAAGTATACCACTTAAATTGAAATAATGTCATATTACAATTTATTCAATTTCTTATTCGAGTTCTATATCCCTCCATTTTGTTTTATGTTAATTAACGTTATCAATGCACACTAAAAAAGATTTATGAATTGTGTAACTTAAATAAAAAACTTGTCATATATAATGTATTAAAATTTTGTGATAAAAGTTGAAAATAAAAATTTATTTATAATTATTACTAGTGCTTTAAAAAAGTATGATGGGGCAACAAAATGAAGTGAAAGAATAGTCTAATATCTCATCTCCAAAATAGAAATTTACAGAACAATTATTTTCATTTTGTTGCTCTTTCACAATTGTGAATATTCGAGTAAAAGAGAAATATAATTTCTCACTATTTTCTATTTCTGTACAACATTGAAATTCCTCGAAAAAAGACAATTTTACCCCAGAACAAACTCGAGATTCACAGTAATGCCCCTAGAAATCATCTTCTCCGCCGTTACGCCGGACACTGTAATTACTCTTCCACATCCGGCGATACTGCAGTTTCCGATGCTTTCTAGTAACTCTTGAAAATCGTCCATTCTTCGCCGCCGACGCAGAATTCCGGCCAGATTTATGAGCGAAGGGCTCCACTTTCTCCGGC